GTAACTGGAATATACAGTCTCAGTTTCTGCTTTCTTATGTAGGCGAGGCAAAGGCACGACAATGCCCTGTTCATGTCTGTTCTCCCTCATTATACAAACATGCTTCATAAATTATAGGCCTTGGCATAGATAGAGGAGGTTGTGTTTATCTGTTATCCATGGGAGTGCCCCTTAATGTCATCAGTGTTTTTCCCCCTTTCCTTACCTTATAAGGGCAGAAGTTTAACTTGGCTGTAGTCACTTGGTCTTACACAGCAAGTTGGGTGAAACCTTCTCTGTATAACTACAGTTTGCATGAAATAAAAAGGCCTGACCTTTGGTCATTTCTTGCTCCACTTTGGTTCAGGCAGGACTTTGAAAATATATTCCAGAGGATTAATTTTTAGAATATTATATTATTCTCCTACAACTATTTAAGTAAAAATTATTGCTGTTTTTAATTTTTTTTTTAGTCATGTTGACTAAAACATCTGGATGCCCTGAAAATCTAGACCTTGTAAAAGTTATCTTTTAAATCTGATTTTGGAGTGTAATTTTGCTATATTGGGGTAGGCATGCCCTTGAGTTCTATGTAGTACCTTATTGGGGTGGCCTGGGGAGGGAAAGTGGTGTTTCTGCCCCTGTTTTCTATATAGGTAGCTAATACCTTTGGGGCAGGGGGATGGGCACAAGGGAGGAAATAAGGCTTGACTGGGCTACTAACTCCAAGGCACTTCACTAATGCAGAACTCGTGAGGGCTGTTTAACAACAGATCTGCAGGACAATTGGTATCCTTCACTAATATAGCAGTCTCTTTTCTGAGCAGCTCATTACATGTGGGAATACAATAGCACTTTTGAAATAAAAGAAACTAGCATCCCAAACTGAAAGACTTTCGCCAGCAGTGTCAACACATGGGCTCTTGTTAGAAGAAGCTAACCCAGCACACTAAGGGTGATTTCCATGCCTGGAAATAATTTGCATCTTGGGTCTTGACCCTTCCCAAAAGCCTTGTTATTTATATCTGCATGTGGCTTTGGGCTTATACTGGCAGAGGCAGCCACAGGTTAAGTCTTAAGTAGACTGCCCAGGTGCTGTGATGAGAGGAACCTTAGAAAGTGTCTTGACTCAGAACTTAGAAAACACATACCAGAAAGGAAGGCTAGTGAAGGGCCTTTTGAATACAAAACATAACATACACACACACACAAAAGAAAACAAGAGAAACAAGTAGATTCTAGGGAACCAAACAAGATTGCAATCAGACCAATATGGCAGGGCCTGAGAAGCCAGTGGGAGTCCAGGTTTTTCCCAGGGGAAGCTTACATAGAGGTAGATGTACCCCATGTTCTGCTGTCAAGTCCAGGCTGTAACCTACGGGCACCTTGGTCCTGCTCTGAAACTTCTGGGCAGCAGGCATTGGCTTCTAGGATTGAGAGCAAGTGCTCTGTGTTCAAATGTGAGTGGTCGCCCATTAGTGTTATTTGATGGAGTTTTCAGGTTTATACCATGGCTTATTTCAAAAAAGATTGAGAGGACTTGTTTAGTGGGTGATTTTGTTTTGTTTCGTTTTTTTAAATATATCTTTTTTTTATTTCAGAGAGAGGAAGGGAGAGGGAGAGAAAAAGAAACATCAATGATGAGAGAGTCATCATTGATCGGCTGCCTCCTACACATCCCCTACTGGGGATAGAGCCCTCAACCCGGGCATGTGCCCTGACCGGGAATCGAACCTCAATCTCCTGGATCCTAGGTCGATGCTCAACTGCTGAGCCACGTCTGTCTGGGCTAGTGGGTGAGGTTTAATACAGTAACTGTTCTCCTGGTCCTGGTTAATAGCCTCTGTCACTAAAGGCCATCTTTGGGTTGGAGAGTTGGGGTGGGGGTGGGGGTGGTTGTAGGGAACCTCCCACTCTGACTTAGGAAGAGAGAAGACTCCAGGAGTGAGAACCACCAGTTCCAGGGCTTCCATGAGGTTTCAGAGGCAATGAGGAAAAGTGACAGAGCCAGCACGCAAGGAGCCAGACAACTGGGATTTTAGTCTTGTCTCCCACTGGCAGCTGTTGACCTGAGCATGCTTCAGCATTCTGTGTCAAAGATCCCAACCTCCTTCCATTTTCTTTTGAAGGAGGAGCTAGAAGAGTGGTTCCCGTGGGGTTTGCTAACTTCTTTTAGGTGGTGGGGCGGGGAGGGTGGAGGAGAGGAACAGGTTGCTTGTTTATAGTGCAGATTCTTGCCCTCCCCTCTGACCTGAATCAGAATCTCTAGAGATGGGGACTGGAAGTTTATATTTTTAATACACATCTCCTAGTGGATTCCGACGCTAAGCCAGTTGTGGGAACTGCTGGACAATTCCTAGCTAGATGATTTGCTAGCTCTTCCACTAAACAATTAAAGCCTCTGTTTTTTGAACCACACATAGGTCGGCTTTCTGTGTGCACTGGTCCTGGCTCCTAGAACAGATCTCCATCCCCAGTCATTGCTCGTGTGCCCTATATGAGGCCCTCCCTATTGGCTGGTATTCCATAGGCTACAACGTGAATGTCAAGAAGTATAAGGTCATACAAAGTACTCCTGGGAAAAAAGGGGTTAGTGACATTTATAAACAGTATCCAGAGCTAAAGGAAAGAGCGGTTGTGTGTTGGGG